TTTTTCCCAGGAGGGCAACCACCGCAACTTTCAGCAAGGTCTTGGAGTGGGGACTTGTGGGACAATGCGATGGCAGAGTCCTCGGCTGTCTTCACTGCATCCATTGCGCACGCTTGGCCTAGGTTTTGGGCAGCTTGAAGTCAGAATGTGTTGCTTGCCACTCTCTTGGTGCTATTGACACGTGATGAACACTTGAGCGACAAAGGTCCGGACTTGACAAACGCTGTGGCGTCAAGGGAACATCGGATTGGTGTGCAGGTTACTTAACCATGAATGGTCACTGAACGTACGTAGTACTTAACAACTAAGACTAATGAACCCGTTGCAATTGTTGAGCTGCCGCTGGTCTTTCGTCAGGTTGAGCGGTGTAGACGGATCAAAGAGAGTGACATGTATCCTGAATAAATCGTGATGTAACAACTTGCCGCCGGCCGACTTACAAGTGCTCTTGAGCCGCGCACGACTGGCAAGAAAGATCAAGACAGTAGACGCACACCAGCGCGCAAAAGCGACGCCGAGCTGGCACTTTTCTGGATCTGCGCGGCTTCCACAATCGCCGGAAGCGATCGCAGGAAGGGCGTTTGCAGCCAAAGCTTTGGAGACGCCGTCCTGGGTTGGCAAACAACACACTCATGGGCTAAAGCAACTCTTGGAATCTTTGGATATCCTGGGAGGGTGGTCAAGAAGGAATGCCGCCCGTGCTACAGCACCCACGCAAGAACACAGTGCTGGTCAGCCTGGTGTCTCCGTCAACCGGACGTCCAGCACGGATGCATCTCCACTGCCAACAGAAACAACAAGTACAGCTTGAGACAAGTCCTCAATGCCCTGTTCTGATAGTGCTTCTTGATACCTGAGCTGTTCGTGAAGCCGGGTAGCAGCAACGATCTGAGGCAGAATGCTAGTTTTGACAAACTTATCCAACACACCCGAGAAACCGAGCTGGCTCGACGCCGCTGCTGATGGAGGTGGGCATGTACTCTCGTGCAGGCGTGGCGGCTCCGTGGAAAACCCATGCCCAAGAGCTGGGACAAGTTTCGCTCCACCACGATTGCAGGCGCGCCGGAAAGTGCTGGATGTTAGGAACTTTGGACACAGCGACTAGGTACCCTTCAGTTAGATGGCGGCTTGCCGCGTGGACAGCAGCGGAAAGAACTTCTTCTCCGCAGTCCCCACCATTTCCGAAAAGCAGGCTAGCGCCGGTTGCGATATTCTTGGGGTTCGGCATGAAGGGCGGATTCACCAAAATTGCATCAAACAGGCCATGACCGTCCAAGCCCTCGAAGCGCAAGTCCCTCTGCACGAGGCCGTCGCACCTTTTCGTGCTTGCCGCAGGCTTGAGACGGCTTTAGGATTAGGTGTCAGCACTTTTGGAACAAGAGAATACTTGGCGGCAACATGCGGCAACCTAGATCCGAATATATTGAGAACAGGAAAGTGAGCTTATACGCAGAATCATGCGATTCGGCGCTGAAGTGCATCGAGAAGAAGTGAACGTTGTGAAAGCAACCAGTAAGAACAAAAACACATTTAAAATTTCGTGTTCCATGAGTGCTCACAACGAGAAAGATCGACATGAACAGCGTGCCAGCTGTTGTAACGGCGAGAATGCCAAAGAGTACGCAGGAAAGGTTCACGATGACCCGTATGTCGCTTTGATAAGTAAAAGGGCCCTAAACCCTAAACCCCTCAAGTGGCCTCCCAAGCAAGCCATTCAAGGCCAGGTTGAACCGCGCGAAAGCCAGTCCACGGGGATTCGCATCCACGAAGACGGCCCTTTCGGTGGCTTCGCTTTGGACAATCTTGGGGCCAGGCAGTTGAGGGTGCTTGGGTTTGGCCACCACAGAAAGAGGCACAGGAACGGCTGAGGTCTGTTGGTGCCTGATGCCCAAGAGCGACTCTTTAGGCGCCCTTCCTCTTTGTGACGTAAAAAGAAGGAACCAGTTATGACCTAAGTGGTGTATGGTCTGGGAGACGACTTCGGTGTCCTCCAAACTCCGGTCTTCCAAATTCTTCCAAATCCTACACCAGCCACACGCTCCGAAACCAGCCGAAGCTGCGCGGGCAAGGAGAGTAGTTTGAAGCCCTCTTGGGAAATCCTGAGGCACCAGATACGAAACTCCCAAGCCCGCAGTGCCTGGCAGCATAGTGCTGCAGGGCAACGATGCCTTGGCTGCGCAGCTCGGCGGGATCTTTCAGCGCAGCTTCTTTTTGTGGAACCTCTTAGCGCCCGAGCCCGGCTAGGGGACCAGCTGCGCGCACCACGCTCTGCAACCTTCTGGATTTCCGTGCATCTGCGCGCGTGAAGCCCTTTTTGCTACAATTCCAGGCTCCATGTTGCCTTGCAGCAGAAATCCCTGAAGCCCACATCTGGGCTCAGCTTCCAGCCCAAATCCGACTGGCTGCCTTTTTTGCCGTATCATCCTGCAACTTGGAGCCCTTAATCATATTGTTGCCTCAAAAGACCCTGGAATCCATCCCACCTGTCAGTCCTGCCCATGAACTCGCCCTTGAGACCCTGACTCTCACATCTTGGACTAACGGTTCACACCCTTGGAATCGCATGCCAGGCCAACCTGTCGCACCTTGAGCTTTGGACACCATACGAGTTACTGCCTCGGGGACAAGGATATGATTATTTAGCTCATGTACCCTATTCATAATACAATCCCGTGCAGCATCAATATTCTGACACGCTTCCTTCCTTGTAAACCCTTAAAATGGCTCTTCAGCTCCAAGCCTTCCAGGCCCTGGCCTTAAATCTCCGCACCCCCCTGCCCACCCCCCTCCCCCCTCCAAACCCACGGCAAACTCTCTGAAACCTCAAAACGCCTCAAATACGCCCAGCCTTCAGAGTGCCAAGAGGCCTTGGACCCCTGAGCCGCAGCAAAGGTCCAGCAGCCGCTGGCATGGCTTACGCGGCGCGGCAGCCGCAAGTGCCAAGGAGTCCTAGCTCCGTCGAGGCTTCAGGGTGCCGAACACTTGCTTCTTTGCTCTGAGTTCTTGGGGGCTTTTGGAGGGTTTGAAGGGGGCTTAGGATGGCTTAGGGATTTGTCTTGGTTTCACCAGGACCCAAACTCGACATGAACCTTTCTTCGCCTAGGAGGAGACCAATTGTGTCCTCTGAGAGATACATGACCGGCTCGGTCCCGTCCGAGAAGCACGTTGACTCGTAGTCGGTGGCCACCAGGAGGTCGCCCTCGACAGGCCAGAGCGCCACTGTTGCAAACACGCAGGCCTCCTGAGCAGGGGGTGCGGGTCAGGAATTGGAGCTGCTGTCGCAAGCTAGTCTGCAAGGTAAAACGGATAAAGCCTAAAATTGAATCCCCGCTGAAGGGTCACAGTCTTTCCTGGATGTTGGAGTTGGGCTGCAGAAGCCTGGATGTTGCCAAGTCGATTTCGTGCAGGACCTGCTGACGGATGAGGATCTGATACACATCCTGTCCCAGGATGGCTGCTACGCGGCTGATAGGCAAGACTCTGTGAAGTAGGAACAGGCGGGCGAGATCTGCTGCCGTTGCACAGGCTGTAGTGCTGTTCTCGCATTGCCAAGCATGCAGTCGCTCCTCGAGCAGCGATTCTTCTTCCCACTTGCGATTGTGAACTGACATGAACTGAAACAATGTGCCTTAAGTAGAGCAACTCAACATAACATCCCACACCGTCGCTCCTCGAGTACCGCGCTGCCAGATCTAGCCAGAACGAATTCTGTCAAGCAAGCAGCCCCTGACCCCTCCAGCACAACGGACTCGGTGTAGGATGCTTCCAGAAGCCTCTTGCGCACGAGCGCCAGCTCCGCATCCGGCTGCTCTTTGGAAAGGAAGGCCGGCGACCTCGCTGCCAACAGCTTTGTGGAATACTCTAATAGCCCGAAGTCCAGGCGGCTGGCCTCACAGGAGACCTGCAAGTCCGCGGCGCTGGTGAGCGCCGCATGCGCACCTTCAATGTCGAAGAGGCGGAACCGATGCAGTGCTAGGGCCGAGAGAATGGCGAGCGCGCGCCCTTTTGTGTCAGCGGCGCTTTCGGACCTTTCATCGGTTTGGTCGGCGAGCTTCTGGTTTTGGTGAAGCTGCCACTGAAGCTTCTGCTCCTGACATTGAAGGACTGCACGTGTGGCCAGGCCGTGGGCAGCCACCAGAGAATCGCGGCTCTGGTGCCGGGGTGCCGAAGCTGTGGCCGCCGGGTCGCCCCAGGGACAACGCTTGAGCAACTCGCGGAGGCCCTTCTCCCTCCTTTCGAGAGCCTCGAGGGTCTTGGCATCGGCATCTGCCTCCAGTGCTTCCCAGTCCGAAGTGATCTGCCTCAGGGACTGGATGGACTTCTGCAAGATCTGGGTCCACACCTCTGATGCGGCCTCCTTCTTCGTGGACCTACCGGCCACAGCTACGGAGGCCGATGCAAGGAGCAATGTCTGGGACCTTCGCTCAAGTCTACGATGCCTGCGGTGCTTTTGCCCCGGGCTGTGGCACGGAAGCCGGAGGATGCAAAGGCCCCGTGTAGCAAGGCAGGCCGAAGCCGACCCGAGAGGCTGGCGAGCCATAGGGAAGGCCATGGCTTGCGGACGCTGTGCCGCGGCCTCTCCGGCGTGTCATGGAGGCACGAAGCCGGCTGTCTGTTTGCCTGCGCAAGTGTGCTTAAGTGCTGTTTCTGGAACGCGTTGCAGGTCTTTGCTCAGCCTTCGGTGGCATTCATGTGTGGAGCCCAATCTTCCTTGAGGCCGTAGAAACAAGAGGCTCCATGGTCTTAGGGCATCTTTCACGGAACCTTCATGTGGACAAGTAACAAGTCTAGGCACAAGCAAAGTTGTAAGTCTGCCAAGATTCAAATTCATACTCGTCTTGCAACCATGCTCTTAGAAAAGCTAGGAAACTAGGAACATGGCACCGGCCTTCGGACGACTTATCACCCAACACGTCTCAGCTCTCGCCCCGTGCCCTCTTGGCAGGAGGCTCTGCCTCCTCTGCCTCCTCGGCCTCCTGGTTATCGGCCCCCTGCTCAGAATCGCCCTCCTGCAGTGCGCTCGGTTGTAACAGTCCCCCCAGCACTCGGCCCCCCCCCCCGGCCCGCATTCCGAAACCCGGAACACAGCAAAGCTGAACCAAAGCCTCTCCTCATCGTCGATCAATTCCTCCTCCTCTGCCTGCTCGGAGCCGTCTGGTTCTTGCATCGCTCGCCACTCCTGAGCAGGGCATCCTCTGCTGCAAGGGCGAGCTACCAGCATTGTCAGGACGTGTCAGGACTGTGTTCGAATGAGGTGGTGTGTGTCAAATGAGCGCGGTGACTAGATGTCTAGGCTTTCGGTAGCAACTGAGTACAAGCTCTGGATCCCATGTCGTCCTGATTCGTATCACACCATAACCTGGATGATTTGCTGTTTGTGCTGGCCTAGGGTTTCTGGGCAATAGTCACAGTGCCTGAAGTTGTTGGGGGCTGGAGGGAAGGAGGCCAGAGATTTCTACTTAACCCGCTCCTTCACCGTAATCTCATGAGGCCCATCAGCACCCGATGCCACCAAGGCCACAATGGCCTTTGCGGCCTCCACTGGACTAGCATTCGTCAAGACATTGAGATCGGATAAGAGTACAGGAACCATGATATCCTCATCGGCCAATGACTCAGGCTCAGGATTCAGAACGTCGTCTACTGCGGTCTGGGTGATGGCCGCGCCCTCACCCAGCTGCCTTGAGAGGCGGGCAATCCCATTCTTGTGGAAATAGACTAGTGTGTCGCAAGACTCCGAATCCGAATCCATGCCCCTCTCCCAGTCAATGCTCTCATCGAGGCTGTGCCCCAGTTGCTTGCACATGAAACCTGCCACGGCATCCATGAGCGCAGGGCAGGACTCATGCTTCAAGCCCGGAAACTTCTTGAACTCGGCAGATGTGGCCTTGCTTAGGATCTGGGAGGCGGCTTCCCCACAATCAAAACCTACCATGTCGTCTGCCGTCCCATGGCACAGGAGGAATGATGTCGAGCCCTTCCAGCCATCAGAGAGGAGCTTTCGGGCGGCCGTGGTAAGCCAGCCCGACACCGCCACGCAGCCGGCCAAAGGGCGAGGGTGCTGAAGAGCGCATTGCAGGGCAATGGCAGCTCCCTGGGAGAAGCCTCCGAGGAGCACGTGCTTTGAGGGCATCCTTTGCTCCAACCTCTCAACTTCAGCCAGGACCTTGGCAACGGAGGCTGCGTAGGCACCACTTTTGTCCTCGTCGATGTAGTCAGCAGAACCAACATGAATGCATTCTTGGGTATGGAACTGGCCCCATCCCCTCAGCTTCTTGTTCCCCAAGCACGGCTGCTCCAGCAGGGGAGCACAGAGGTGGTGCCAGGACCAGCTTGTGGCACCCTGAAGCGGCTGCCACGCCATAGCCCATCCCTCGGGTGAATCGCCGAAGCCATGCAGCCATATCACAGCTCGGGTGGCTGTTGCCTCGGGTTCGCCGACCACCAAATTGCCAGACTCATCTTTCGGCATGTTGGCCGTAGCCTGACTGCTGCTATTCTCAGTCTACATGCTAAGTTCTTGCTTCCTCTCATTCTGCTGTCCATGCTTGCCGGTGTGCTGCTGCTGAAGACTCAGTATGTCGACATGTTCAATGACTAAGCCACGCCATTGCTGCGAGTGCATGGCACAGGTCAAAGCACTCCACCCAGTTGTGGAAGGGTTACATGTTACACGGAGGCTAGTGCAATCCACAAACCTTTTGGTTTCCTTTGGCCGTCTCATTCTCCGCATCATCCACGATCGTCCCGGCCAGCTCTGTCCGGGGCCCCGCTGGGGCGACTGCTGGCGCGACCACTTGTCAGGAGTCCACTGCTCGAAGGGGACTTTGGCCAGGAGCTATCGGCTCTACACGATCTCAATGGACCACCTTGGACTGGCTTGGTGGGCTGTCATACAAAGACTCCATCCCTGCGTTGCAACGTGCAGAGACTTGTTTCGAAGAACGTTGCAGTACCACAAGAAATAGCCCCGGAAAACCCTTAATTCTACACGAAGCCAGCTTGCACTGCCAGGGCACATCTCAATGTCACGCACCACAAACTCAGACTTCGAAGCGAGCGTGGGGTTCCTGATTGTACAACGTGTGCTCGAAGCTTTCAGCATTGAACCCGTGCTGATTGCGGTCCACAACCCACAGGCAACAGAAACCCTCCAACACTCCAAAAACCTCAATCCCCCAAAACTCGCATAACACAAAGTTCCGAGGCCATGGCTGGAAGGTTACGGTTGGAGAGGAGTGTCCCTGCCTAGGTTCAATAAACCACAACTTTTTTCCAGGGCCCAAAACAGCCCAAGAAAACGGTACCACGGCAACGTGTGCCCGGCAGGAACCCGTCTTCTTTCAGATGCTTTGCTTGGGTCCAAGCTGCAATGCGTATGCCATGACATATACACACCTATGCATATATATAAATATGTATATATATATATACATATACATACATACATATATATGTAGTAACATTGCTTTGTTCGTATATTATGGCCATCCTGAGTCTAAAAGCCCTTAAAAAAACTCTCGGGCCAGGGCAGTAGATCGGATTGTATCACGAAAGCCAGCCGTCCTTGCAGCCACGTCTTGTACTTGCCTTCTACCTTTATTCGGAATCGCCTAAGATGCCACACGATCGTGCTTACAAGCAGAGCTTCGAGGCTCAACATCCAAAGTAGCTAGGAATCATACTCCGTCTTGCGGTTTAAAGCTAGTCGTAAGTTGCTTGAATGAACAGCCTGCTACACTTTCCAACACGCATCTTTCTACTTCCTTCCTTCTTGGTCGCTCTAGCCAAGCTCCTTCTCCACCACCCATTCCAAACATGGACTTGTCAGCGTACATGCAGCACCTTAGCACAGGCAGCGCTGCAACCCACGGTAGTACTCCTGGCCTCTGCTCACAGGGGCTCCAACTCGTTCTCTGAAGACCAAGGGAAGAACTGAACCTGAGATCAGTGCAAAATAGTGCAAAATAGAAGCCGCCCAACTCCTCGCTCCTCTGTTGGCCTCCGCAGGCTGCTCGGTGCGGCCAAATGAGAAGACGAACGCCTCTGTGGCTGTTGCAGTCTTCAAAAGGCTTCTCAAGGGCAGCCGTTCAGCCACAGAATGCCTCCCTCAGAAATCACCGACCTGCATTCTAACTACCATGAAGCACCCTTGTCTCGCTGCAGTATTTTCAGCTGAACTACGTAGAAACGATTCATCATGAACAATTGTGGTGTCTAAGAGTCTTCCGCGGTCAATGCAAGTGGCCTCGCCGGATCCATAAAACCTGAGAGGCCCATTGGGCTCAGTCAAGGCACGCGACAACTAAAACAACCCGGGTGTTCAAGCTTGCGGTTTCGACAGGTCGAAACACCTCTGTGAACTCTCCTTTTCCCTCCCCCTCCTCCCTCTCCCAACCGTTTCTTCAACAGCAATCTGAGTTTGTGACCTGCCAGCCGGCTGCCAAGACGAGGTGGCGAAGCCACCAAACACGAAGTCCTGACACACTTCTCATCTAACAGTGCAAATCCGCTTTTATCCAGATCTGAACTACTAGGGGTACTTGGGCGCATTCAAAGAAGTCCTGGTCCTAGCGCAAGGCTTGCAAGGCTTCCCAACGTGTGGTGTTGCAGACGGAAAAACTAGTGACGGACTGATCATAGTTGCACTCCGTCGTGAACAGCTGTGGCACATAGTCTACGCGCAAATCGTTGCTGCAGCCCCCGGCACGGATGCTAAAGCACTGCCTCCGTATCCTTGATGATGACGATGGTCTTATCCCGCCTGGACAGCTCCCATGCTCAGCTGGGCTACGCTTCACTTGCGTGCTCTAAATGCCCTACTCTGTGATAGGCCAAAGGCCTCGACGCTTCATTGCTTTCTCTGTCACTGCATGCTTGCACATATTGCGCCGTGAAGCGTCGTGTTGACGGACTGAGGTGTCCGCTCCGCCATGTTCCGGAACATCGTGGAAAGAGAAACGCCGTGTGCCTGGCATTGAACTTTGATTCTTGTACCGTGGGAAATCTCGATCGGCCTTCCATTCTGACCTCTGGCTCTAGAGGCCAAGCCCTAACGCCTGTAAAGCCTAATCCATATATTAAATCCACCTCAATTAACAAGTTGCAATCTCGATGGCATTGGTGTGGCCTGGAAACAAGAGCTTGCTGCCTTCATAGAGCATGTGGATATCAGATGATTCTGGCACAATGAAGAGGCCACAGCAGGCCGGTTGCAGAGTCAACTTCTATCAGGCCGTGCTGGCCAATGCGGAGCCTTGCCGTACACCCTGACAACAACACAGCTCCAACCCCAAAACGCCACAAGCTCAAAACTTGACACAAGAACTTAGGATACCAATTCCAAAACCCTTCCAAGGCCTTGGGTGTGTATCGCAGCACCCACTCCACCAGCCCCGGCAAACGCAAGCCCACGGGCAAAAACTCGAGAAGAGCCTCCTCTCAGCAGTTCTTCTTTCATTCCGTGCTGAGAGTTCTGGGCTTACGCATGTGTGACTCAAAGCTGTAAAGTTTTTCACTGGTCGTTAGGAGGCGCCTTGCGCCCTGTGAGAACTAAACCCTAATGCCCCAAAAACTCCAGTCCCCAGCACCCTGTGCATGCTTCGCTCCGCCAGGTCTTTGGTCAGAAGGGCGCAGTCGAGGTTCTCAGGAAGCCGCAGCATGACCTGCTGTGAGATGACGTTTCAGTGGGACACTTAGGGGGCTTAGGGAGCACAAGGGTTAGAAGATGTATGGGCTCTTTGTGAAGAGAGGGTTCAATGCCTGGACGTCTACAGTACCTTGCCAGGTGCACTCGAGGTATCAACTGAAGGGCTCCAGTACTCGCGGCGCCTTCTCAACTCTGATCGGAGAGCCTTGCGCGGCCATTTCGAGTAGGGCTGGAGGCAACTAGTCCGAGTGCCAAGATCTCTCAAACCAAGACCCCTGGTCAGGCCCTAGTCCCCCGGCAATATTCTGAGGTCTCTGTCTACATCGCGCCATGGGCTCGACTATTCATGAGTCGAGATTTCCAGATCCCAGATGGGAAGCCCCAAAACTCTTTCAAGCCGACCCGGAAGAGCCTGGGTCACTTTGAGCATCCACTTCTTGCGGACTCTTTGTGGAATCAGCCGGCCTGGGCATACTGAATAGCTGCAGGTAATGTAGACTCAAGTATGCCCTCCCAACTAGTGGGTGAGGCCACCAGATCCAAGAAAACTGAAGCCCATTCTGCGCTTCCCGCCTTTGCTGGACTAAGGGTGGCTGCGCTTTTTTGTTTGTTTCTGGCTCGCCAGGAAAACCAGAAATAGAAAAGAACCCAGTCAGAACCATGCTGTACGTAGCAGAGCTTATCTTTTTGTACTGATTTTTCGCTTCGCCGGGCGACTTGCCAAATTTATGAAATGATTTCCGACTTTTTCGTCTGACCTGAGTCGTCCAGGAAAGTGCGCATCAGACTATTCTGATTGTTGGTCTGAATTGGCCTTCGCTTTATCTTCTAGCTGCTCTGACAAGCAAGAAGGAAATCAAAAGGCGTGCAAGAAAGTGCTGTAGATAGCAACGCTTTTTGCCGAATTTCCCCCTTTCGCTTGCGATTCATGAAAATTTCTTGAGACTTGTTCAGACATGTGTTC